GCCGCCAGAGCAAAGCAGCATTTGCGGCGAGGCGCGTAAGGAATTGCCTCGTCTTTTCGCGTCCGAGGAGCGGGCCGCGGGCCACACGCCGGGGAGGGGGGTGGCGCGTGCGTGCATGCGTGCGGCGAGGAAGCGCGTGCGGCGCCGCGCCGGTCGTGCGTGCGCATAGGCCGTCGGTAAACGCGGCGCGCGGCCCGCATGACTGACATGTTTGCTCAGACTTTGCATCAGCCGTTAGTTTTGTAAATGTTGCGCTTACGTAAGCCTCTCTTTAGTACCGCGAGAGGTTAATGACTCTATTGAATTCTGTGTTGCTGTATGACTGTACCGTTCCTACGGGTCGTTCTTGAGACTTAGTTTCCACGGTACACGTTCCTGTTTTACGAACGTGACCGAGTGGATCAAAACGTGTTTTCATTGTTAAGATTTTGTTTAATCGGTTTTAAAATATCTGTGTTCTCAGTGACAATTTATACCAGGCTTCTGATTCATTTGGGGTGTGCAATCTCACATCAAGATAAAGCTACATCCCGTTTTAAAATACACTTTCTTCGCGAGTGGAAACGCTATTCCGAATTAATTTCTTTGAAACACGGTACTCGCTGTTAGGGCGCATTCTTAAGGCCTCGGCAGGGCAATGCTCCGCATGGAGGAACCATTCGCGAAAACGAACAAACAGTAATCTTCATTTGTAGACGAAATACCGAAAAATATTTTTCTTCGCCAGGCAACTTGGAACCAGGGAATAGAAAGAGCAATGACTGAGGGGGAACCTGAATTCGAAGATGCTCAGAACGGGTCGTGCCGCGTGACCCCACTTGATGATGATTTCTCGTGGCTCTTTTTTGGGGGGGAGGGGGGAGCGTGCCCTCGATGCTGACTACCACAAAATCGTCCACTTCGAAATCATATTTTCCCTGATTTACTAGAGTTGTTCATTTGTAGAATCCCCAGGATCCTAAAGGAAGAAATTCAGACTGGTAACTTCTGTCTGTCATCTCTTGTGGAGAAGACCTCTTACGTGTGGATTTGGAAGCCTTGCTGGAGGATTGAGTCTTCCTTATGTTATGTCCCTATACCATCACGTAAATGTTGTTACACAAGGCTCAAATTACCCTTCGTTAAAGCCAACACAATAACGGTTAAGAATAACTGACTGAAACCTTGGTATTACATGACACAAAAAGAATAATACAGTAATATAATAATTAATATAACTATTAGAAGAAAGGTCACAATAGAGAAATACAACAAATGCACTCTACGGAAAGAAGAAACTTTTGTTTAATGTCGAAGCAATATTGTGCAATGTCGTTCTGTTCTTATTCGCCAAGACTAATGGGATGAAGTTTTACAAATTCTGGAACAATTCAACCTATATTCATTGTGAACAGTGACTGAAGCATATTTCTGAAAATGTTTTTAAAATGATTTTTTTATTTAGCCATATCTGTACGTGGTTTACGGCGAACCTTAGCGCTGTTAGTTTGCTTTCCTGTCTCATGGACACGTGGATCGTGTAATTCGAAATACGAAAAATTCACTATGTAACCCCTAGCATGGTACTTTTACGTTTATTCTACGTTAATAAAATTCTATTGATACTGAACACATTACATTAAAATTTAGTGCATGAAAGTTATCAACCACAACTGTATAAAAATGTTTCATTTAATAACGTTTATAAAACATATTGTGACAAAAACTCAAATAAATTTCGGGGAAATTTCGCCGTCAGCAGTGGTACAACATGAGAATTTCAGGTTAAGTGGTCAAGGATGTCTGAAACGATAGAAATAGAAATATATGAATGCCATCTTATGAAGATACGATGTGAAAATGAGGATATGAACCATCGATCTTGTTAACAGTTAAGTGGCTGTTTTTGCGACGTTAAGCAGAATGGGCTGTTGACAATATGGCATCTTTATATTCTCATATCTGTTTCCTTTTCTCATAAGACGGCTTTCTATTTATATCTTTCCATACATCCTTGAACATGTTATCTGAAATTTTGTTGCTGTACTACTGATGACTGGGAAGTTTCCTTGAAACAAGTGTGGATTTTATCACAATATTTTTTATTCATTGTATTAAATGTAACATTGTTCATATTATTGAGGTTAATAACTTTTGTTAATTCATCTTTACTATGCATTTCAACATTTTGTGTTGAATTTGTGAATTTTGAGTAAAATGTTTTTGTGTGTTGATACTGAAGAAATTAAAGTTTGTCATGCTTTCATTTTTCTATGCAAAGGAATTTTTGAATGTTTTTCAGAGATATGTATTCTGGTTCGACATGCATAAATAATTGACCATATTTAGAAAATGGTTATTTCCCTAATGGATTGGAGAGTTATATAACGTGCTAAAATTGAATTTTATGCTGTTTCAAGCAGTTTGGCGAGAGTTTAGGAGGTATTATTGAATTAATGTTAGCTCCGTATGTTTCAATATATGGACACCGCTTATTGTTATCATCTGGGCCACAGTTAATACATAATAACATTAATCGATTGAAAATACTTCAAAAATATACGGTTATCAAATGATTAAGATAGATACTTCTGTAGTTTACTAATGAGAAAACATGCATTCATAATAAAATTCATGTACGCCTTCTCTTCTCGATGAAAAGAACATTTATTCCAATTTAAAATATATTACAATGTCAGACATACTTTCTAATTTACAAAGTCTTGAAGGAGCTTATGATTTTCTCCGAAGATTCCGATAATGTAAACTTCGTACTCATAATGTTTGGGGATATCAACTGACGTGCGATGAACAACTCGTGCCAATATTTCTAACGCCTGTCTCATTTCAGCCGTTGTTGGAGGTTGAGACGTTTCCGCGGCATTTTCGTTTCTTCTTCTTCTTCTTCTTCTTCTTCTTCTTCTTCTTCTTCTTCTTCTTCTTCTTCTTCTTCTTTTGTTCAGCAGATGTAGTCATGTTTTCATTCTTAGAAATCTATTCCCGAAATTCGTTTTCCGTTGTTTTTTCTGGTCGAGAGCATCGGATTTCTTCACGTTGTGATGTTTCACTTGAAAACCCTCAATGCTAGAAACAGTTTTGGATTGTTTTTGCCGACACTTTATAGCATCGCATAGCTAAAAGGTGTAGGGTAGATCATCAAGAACATTCCCCAGCTTCGAATCGTTGTCACCCATTCTTTGTGTCTTCCAGGTTCTCAAGAATTCTTGCAATCTCATAGCGATAATACACTTGTCAAGTTCGAATGAATCCGTGGCCACAAGTTTGTAATAATCAAGTCGTACTGGCCGGTAAGGAAATAATACTGATGTTCTTTAATTCACAATTCACGAGGGGCAAAGGATAACGAGTGCGTGAGCAGCGAATAGTATCTGCTTGGTCTTTATCGAATCGCGGCACATGAGGGCTCAAAACTAATTGACATACTATGTTTAAAACTTACGTAATCCTGATCGCAATAAGCGATATTTTCTTAATGTTGTAATATGAGTTCAAGCGGGACTTCATAAGAATGATAAGATTAACCGTGATTAGCGTCGTCCAATGTACGTACGGTAAACTTACAAACCAGTATAGATAGAATTGGATTTTATTATTGATTCCGGGAAACTGCTAAGGTCATTAGTCCCGTACGTGTAGTGCATGTCTTTTTCTCGGGAGGTGATGATTTTGCCCCACTGGGTAGCGAGATCCGACTGCGACCTACCGTGACTGCGACCGACCTACCCCGGCGAGCGGGGTTTTTCCCAACCAGGCAATTTCATAACAAGCTCTAAGCTGACGACCGGCCTCCCGACATGTGTGATAGCTTAGTACATGTAAGTGTACGTGTGTGTAAGTAAGGCGGCGAGGATAGGACAAGGAAGAGGAAGGAAAGATCACGCGCGGTCCGTGGCCTGTTTATTAGGGTACTGCTCTGGTATTCGCTTGGTAATGATCGAAAAAACCACAAAAAACTACTGATCAGAGCAGCCGGCCGCTAGAATTCTCTTCTAAACAGCGACTAATTTCCACCTAGCTGTACAGTCTGCCACCGTCGGAACTCGGACCTAGGACCTCCTGGTCAGAGGCACTGCATTAAATAGGATGTCCGCTACGAATAATCACTAGCGTCTTTAAACTTGATTGGGATTTGTTGGAAAACAAATAAGTAAGTTGATGTGCAAGTAAAATTTGGCGTGCTGAAATTGTTTGTTGATAAAATGTTAAGGCGTAGGCTCTTTAGCCGGTTATGGACAGAGCACGACTTGAAGAACAGTTTGTCATTCATTAATTTTTAATGTGTTTTGTTAAGGTTTTAAGATTATTCTACAGCTCTTGCTAATTTTGAATTGCTGAGTCAGTAATTCTGATTTGATTGACTTATAATCTGAGTTGATTGAACGTGAGAATGCCTGTTAGTCGGGTAGACGAATTGGAAAAGGAAAAATCCAAATTGAGCAAAAGTACAGACATTTGAATATAGCTTTCTGTGTATTTTGTTGTGGATAGTTACTTTTCAGAAATAAGGACCGGCGTTCCGCTGTAGTTACTTTATTCGACAACCGCTCTACTTCCTATCTTGCGATCTCAGATAAAAGAAAGGGGAAAAAAATCTTTACCTTGTACGGGAGTGGTTCACTGGTAGGAAACATAGTCGTGTTTTTTTGAAAAATTCCTCATTGTATGGAGCATAGAAGAGCTTACTAGATGGGGCAGGTTTTCCAGAATCGTTTAAACATCGTGGCATCGGAAGCAACGAACATCAACCAGTACCTGTCTTGTGACGTCACATCGTGACACATACGCAAATGAGCACCACTGGTCTCAGTCTATTGGGGGTTTTCTGTCGCGTAACAGCAGGAGCGCGACATTCTCCTGGGGGAAGCGACGCTCATCCCGACACCCGCTCCCCCTCCCCCTCCCCCTCTCCCCCCCGTCCCGCGAGGGGCGTCAGCATCGCAACCGCTCCCGACGCCAGAGCCATTCATTCGCCTGCAACGACGTGTGTTCTCCTTGTGCAGGGTCCCATCGAACCTTCACCGGAGGACTCTGGGTCATCGTTCCGCCATGCTCGGCTGCCTGGGACTTCCGTCGGCGTCTTCGCCCTCGTTCCTTGGCACTGGAGAAGAAGAGACAACGACGCCTAGACGCCGTGCGGGTACGTATTCCTTTAGGCGTTTTCTTCACAGGATACTTGGATAACGCGCAATGTATTTTTAGCGCTGTAAATCTTTTTGGGATGACAATCATGTTCAACATTTCGGTTAAAATATTCCATAAAAATTGTTATTCAAGTTTTGGAGAAGACGAAACATTAATATTTTTTTAGTATACAATTCCGTAAACCACACATTACATTTAGTATTCAACTTCAGGCTTCTATTACAAAACCAAATTTTAATTTCTAATCCTGAATTGTAACAGGTGCCTTGGGTTGTCTTGGTTTTAAATTTCCTGGCGGAGAGGAAAGAGATTATATTGTTTAATATTTTTTTCGAATACGTTTTTGCTACACTAACCATTTCTGCCTTCAAAATTACTAATGTTCTTTTATATTTTGAAATTGTGTTTCCTTATGAAGTACTCACTGTGTTCTTCATATTGTTAGGAGTGCAATGATTTGCAGATCAGTTTTTCAAGTAGGGCCGAAGGGAGTCTCTGAATCATATCAGTCGTTTAGGCTCTTTCTACTGCGCTCTTTCTGCTGTGTGGTGGCTTTTGAAACATATGTTTGATCGATCTTTAAATGTCTATAAATATTGAAATCGCAGAGTTTGGAACAATATAAAAGTCTGTTCGATTTCACTTTCTTCATCATGGAGTTTTTCCACTAATTGCAATAATTTAATACTAATATTTTGTCAACTACACTTTAGTTGTTGAAGTATCCCTAATTTCGAATGAGTTTCTCAAAAAACTGTCATTTTATACTACTAGTTGTTAATTTTTTCCCCTTTATTAAATATTTTATCCGACAAACATTTATCATTTATTTCAAAGTTGTGTTACACATTTGAGATCATAGCGAGATATCTGGGAAAATTAGAGTGTACATCTCCCAAATTATCCATTTACAGCTGATTTTGTAATTTAAAGGCCTTTAGGCTTTTGTTCCAACTCGCATTTTCTGGGCAAAGGTGATGAGAAAAATTAACCTCCCGAGGAAATATTGGAAAGCGATTTATCTGAACGTAATAAGAGTACATTGTAAAAAATAAACAGCACATTCTAAAGTGCGTGTGGTGTTTGTGTTTTGAGTAACCCAGAATCATTACAACTCTTTCTCGAAAGTACATGGTGTGTGTGCTCGATGCTCACAGTTCGTCGTTTTGATACGAGAGCGTCTATTTAAATAACGCTCATGTTTAGAAATATTTAAGAAGTAAGCAAAACCGTATTAATTTACTTCAAAATTTGATAGATTTTGTTGTTAATGCTTTTCTTATAAAATTACATTCACCTTGTTAAGAATTGTTTGTTATTCTTGTGAAATTTTAATTTTACTTGTAAGGAAGTATCTTTCGCGCTGTTGGAGAATTATTTGTGTATTCGGCATTCTGAATTCTTATCGTTCCGACAAGTAATTTTTATTTATAGTCTTTTATTTTCAGCCTATGAGCATTGACGTTATGGCGTAATTATTAAATGTTAAAAAAATACTAGTAAAGTATTTGGTGTCCGTATTTCAGTCTATAATAATTTAGAAAATGGATAAAAGATGAAAAACTATCAAACTCTATCAATCCTCCTCATTCGTAACGTTAGGAACACGGATATATTCTGAGAATTGATAAACATCAGGATATCATTAATTGATTTAAGCAACCTTTCATGAGAGCAATATTTTATATTTTACTTCGCTTGAAAATGTATTTTTATAACATTGGAGAGTGAAACCATTTTAGCAGTCGCCACTTCAGAGTCAGGGACGTAGAGAATTTGCAGAACGGGAGCTTGCGCGCGCAGCGAACAGAGACGTTGGGGCACAACAGAATTTGCACATGGCCGGCGCCGCGTCTGCGTCCGCGTCGGTGGGGCCGGAGGTCGATCCAGCGACCTCCCCCCACTGCAGGCTGGTTTGGCCCAGGCAGCGCGCCGGGGGCCGGGGGTCGCGGCCGGCGCGGGGCGGGGTGAGGCGAGGCGAGGCGAGGTGGGGGCCGGGTCCTGGCGCCTCTCAGCCCGCCGCCGAGGTCAGTGCCGCATCGACCGGGCTTGAACCCGCGCGCCGCCGCCGCCGCCGCCGCCGCCTGGGGTCCCATGGTGCCAACCACCGAAGAACGTCAATGCAACATTGACTCCCCTCCTACTCTTCTACGCTTTCACTCGTTTCGGCAAATACTCTCCCACTTTGCTTTCGTGTTTTTGTTCTACACGTCAGGACGGTCATGTTTCTTATTTTTTTTTCTTATCGTACTGCAGTTTGCTTCCCTTCACATCCTATCGTGATTTCTCTTCCTACGCTAATACGCGTGTCAGAAGGGATCTATTAATCAGATTTAAGAATCTATTGTTCTAGAATACGCATTGCCACTCTTTTATCTACTCTTTGTCGACGCATTGTCATTTATCTACTCTTTCTTTTGTCTCTTATTATACATTTCATATTCTCTCAACACCTTGTTTCTCTGCCTCCTAATTCTGATACACTCTCTGGGTCGTTTACTCACACTATAAATAATATTGGTAAATATTCTACAACAGACTATTGCAATGGCACCTCTACTTGTGTTTTAAGATGACGTCAACTTGGAAGTTTTATTTTTGCTTGATTGATGGTCGTGTTAAAATGTAGCATTTGAAATAGTAATATTCAAAGCCGTACACGTCCATCCCTTTTAAGAACCTCTTTCATACCAATAAGTTCATCTTTGTCGTTTAATGCAATTTTGCTGGTGATTGATGTTTAGCATTTCTGGATAAGAAATCCCTCTTTAAGAATAAATACGCTTGAGTTGAGGGGCGCGAGGCCCTGTCATGACTCTGAGGCCCCTTCGCACCCGCTTCACATCCCGCCCCGCCCCAACTCTCCCAGGCCTTCCAGGCCCCGCCCAGCCCCTCCACGCACCACACAGCCCTTTCTCGCTCCGCCAGGCCCTTCCACGCTCCGCCCGGCCCTTCCTCGCTCCATTCGCCTTCCTCGCTCCACCCAGCCCTTCCTCGCTCCATTCGCCGTCCTCGCTCCGCCCAGCCCTTCCTCGCTCCGCCCGGCCCTTCCTCGCTCCATTCGCCGTCCTCGCTCCGCCCAGCCCTTCCTCGCTCCTCCCGGCCCTTCCTCGCTCCTCCCGGGCCTTCCTCGCTCCGCCCGGCCCTTCCACGCCCCGCCCCGTCCCGAGCTCTATCGGGCGGAAGAAGCGCTCGCGTGTCGCTAGCTGCTCCCCGAGATTGGAATCGATAACTGATTTTCCTGCCCGACCGCTTCCGGGTGGCCGTCCCTAACGCGGTGCTGTCACAGCACGGCTTCGATCGGCACCCCTCCCCCGCGCCTAGCGCACTGTCCGCCTCCGATTTCACGACTCACGTGCGCCGCGTAGTACGTACGCTGCCATCCCTTTGGGGATTGGTCACGGGCAATAAAAGGCCTGCACGTCGATTCATGTTGCGACTTAGTCTTTGAATGGAATGTCTAGCGCGTGTTTCTTCCTCCTCTATCGTAGTAGAGTAGGAATCGTATCTTCCTCCATTGAGTGCTCTAGTAGTACGTGCAGTAGCTGCAGTTCATCATAGTCTTACGACTTGACGTGTCGCTAGGTGACATAAAGGAATGATCCGTTTGAAGTTGTCTCCCGTACATGAAGAAATGGACGTAATTGCTCTGGAGTTCTCTCTAAAAGCTCTTTCATTTTGTTTTCATGACAAATTGAGAACTTGGTAGGTGCAGAGAATACAATGTCCTATTAATGTCACGAAGGTCATTAAAAACTTTTCATGAAATTTCTTTGAAGTTCTCATGTATTTTTTTCGATTCATACAATAATATCGAAATATCTGTTGCCTTAATTTTTGAAATACTACTCTGGTATCATTGATATTACTTTCCTTGAATCTTGGTCTTGGTAATATAATTTTTCTGACCGCATTGCCTAATTCTTTCTTCATCGAACTGCTGCTTCATTTCGTGCTATATATTTATGATTCTCGTTTATTTCACATGATTTTTATATTTATAAAATTTGGTTTGTGTGTTGGTCGGGAGTCAGCGTTCATCGGGAGTTGCCCTAGCGATATCCGGTTTTCCTTCATTTGCCCGCCCGCGTGTTGTAATTGTAGGTCACAAACGTTTAACGTTGGTTTCCCGTCAAGTATGGGTTTTTCCCTTGGTCATTGGCGTTTTGCTAATCGTATTAATGCGCTTGAAAAAGAGATATATGCAAAAGTGTTGGAAAGAAACTATTCCTTCTATCGAAACTATTCCTAGTATCGTAGATAGTTCTTAAAAACAACAGGAAAGTGGCAATTGTTGAGATGAGTTCACATTTACGAGGCAGACGTTGGAATGTGGGTTTGAATGTATTAAAGAAAATAACACATTTCGTTATGTATGAGTTATGTATACTAGAAAGTATCAGCATAATTGCATTTTCTTCGCAGGTACGTTGAGTGTAACAATTAGGTTAGTGAGGATCATGCATAGAAAAATTTGAATGCACCAGTATCTCCACCATAATCTGTAGGACCTTTTAGACAAGTGATATTTCCGTGCCAGGCGCAACCCTTGCAGCCGAGCTAGCCACCCATCACGCGGGGAGGGGGGGGGCTGGGCTCGGGCAGGCAGGTAGCGCGCGGGCAGCCGCGAGGGGGCGGGCGCGCGTGGCTGCAACCCTCTACGGGCGGCGAGCGGCGCAGGTGCCTCACGCACCCCTCTCCTCTTGGGGTGCCTCTGGGTGGCGGGCGGGCACGCGCCGCTCAACTGCGCCGGCCTCTGCCGAAAAACAACACCTCCCAAACCCCCACTCGCCCCGCCCCTCGCCCCCCGCCAACCCTTCCCTGTGACCTCACCGGGGGAAGGTGGCACGCTGCACTCGCGTGCATCCGCCATTTGCATATCTGATCTGAGGAGACCCGCTCGGGGCTCGCCCGGGTGAGACCCTCCCCGAATTTTCGCCGTCTAATATTTCTTGCTCAGTCGGAGCTGGGGCACGTCTTAGTTGACGGATGTAA